TGGAATTTGTTGAATTTTGTAACTACATTATATTATATTTTTAGGTGGTTGTCATGTGTAGTTAATTGAGATTTTTTATTCAATTCATTTTTATTTATCATTTTCAACGTCATATATTCAAACAACAATGAATCATGTTAGTCATAACAACTTAATGCATTAAAAGAATTAAATTAAACATAAACCAAGTGTATCTCTAATATCAACGATTATAACTTAATGAGTTAATACATATTAATGATTTTGATTTTGTCAAAGACATTGACGTACATTATGACTAATTTATTAGCAGGCAATTTTGACATCTTTGTCTAGATTGTGACTCAACACAATCTATTTTATTCTTAATATGAGTTGATTTTGGTCTTTCCTTAACTATTGTTCTTTCCTAATCAGGAACTAACTTCCACTCATGTGTTGTGAGAATGTTACTTTCATTTCCCAAGAGATACCACTGCAATGTATATGCATTGACCACATATTAGACTAAATAAACTAGGTCAACATATTGCCAAAAATTAATGGTTACCACAACATAAGCAGCTATAACATATGAGCATATAAATTGAAAGGCCTGAAATTTACCACATTCATAAAATTTTCTAGATAATATGACAGTCCATTTGTTACTATCCATTTATGTCACTGATTAAATGATTCTTCAACCTCAAATTTTGTTCTTTGTATGTCATAATAATGAATTTGATATGAAAAAGTTTCCTCTTGATTTCTTTTATATTTTTACCGTCAATTTATGACAAAACCTATTTCCATGGTTCAGCTAAGCCAATGCTTCCTCTTTACAATTGACAAAATATTCAATCATACATCCATATATACATTTGACCAAAGTTGTTATTAATTAGTAGGTTTCTAGCCCCTTTCAAAATTTTGTTTATAGCTTTTGACAAATTTGTCTTTATGTGTCTATAACGACAACCGTACTCATCGTAACTTGATGCCCATTTCTCCCTTGATATGTTATTGATCCATCTTTATATGGTTGTTGACTCGTGAAATCTCTTGAGTTTATCCTCAAAAACAACCTTAGAGGGTGTATATGCTTTGTTTAAAAAAAAATAGCAGTAATACATTATTACTATTCAAAAGAATATCATGCTTTTTTAATATAAGGTTGAGGATAAATTACCTAATTTCATTAGCTCTTTCTTCAAGTTTATACTTTTGAACTTGTGGTTGAAATTTCTTGTAATATGACAAATGTAGTAAACATGATAGCCATTTGGAGCTTTCCATCCAGTGTGTGGATTTAACACAACACTTTGATACTTTAAAGGTGATCATATATTAACCATATACTTGTCTTTTTCGTAACAAACTTATGAATCATTGCCAAAAATCATTTCTATGCTGATAGAGTTTCTCCTTCAACAATAGCAAAAGTTAGTGGAATAACACAATTATTTCAATCTTATGTTGTTGAAATCAGCAATGTGTAACTATACTTACCATACAAAAATATACCATTTACTTGAATTACTAGTTTACAAAAGTTAAAAGCTTTCTTACATTAACTGAATGAGCAAAACAAACATTCATGAACTCTGAATTTGTTGTCGACTTGATGACCAACAATATACTCTTTTGTTTCGATCTTATAAACAGATCTAAGAGCATGTAATTGCATATAGTTACAATCGCCTTCTAAGCATGTAATTGCATATAGTTACAACCACACAACCATCTTGAAAATGTAGCATATGATTCATCCTAATCACCAAACACACTTAGAATCGCCTTCTAAGCTTTTTTTACAAAATTTTATATCCAAATTGAGCACTCATCGTCTCTTGAATTAAACTTACGAGAAATTATGGTTCTTCATTCATCATGCCTACACCAAATACAACCATTCAAGTATAAGAATGCGTCAAGCCAAAATTTAATACAATACATATTGTATAATTATTTGTACTTACTAATGATGCATAAGCAAATCAAATTTGAATTGAGCTTTTGATGGTCTTGGGATATTGTAAGATTCACACATGTATGTGCACCACCCAACCTAGTTATATTCCACGTATTAGAACTTTTAAGCAAAGAAGCTCTCATTTTTCATGGACGATCATTATTATGGTTCAAACACTTCACATACAAATTTTGTTAGTTTTGATGCAACTACCAAATAACTATGATGTATTCTCATAGCATAATGTTTTAATGCAATTCTAAATAACAAACTAACATATAATATATCTCCTTGAACTAATGATTTTGACTCAACTAAATCTTTTGTTTCCATTTCTTGATCAGGGTATTTCTAATTAATATACTTGTAGCGTAGACTTACATTCTAAAAAAGATTTCACCATCACCTGCATTAAAACCTTATTAATATTCATCATTCATACTTACCTAACTTTATACCTAATAACTAAACCAATCATTAACAATACTCTAATAGATTGTTGTGGTAAGTTTAAATTTTAATCAAAAACACCATCCAAGTTAGCATTAGATGAATTATCTACTAGAATTTCTCCTTCATCAACATCCTCATTATAATCATCCTGATCTTCATATTCATTTTCATCTCCACTTCCTTAAAATTGCATTAATTTAGTTAACATATGTTCTCATAACAAATAATTTTAAAATAAAATAAATTAAGACAAGTTTTTTTTACCTCTTTTAACTGGTATATTCATCGTGTTCATAATATTGGTCGATGACATTGATAAATTTAAGTCCAAAAAACTCTCACAAATTACAACATTGGTGTATTACTTTGTTGTCGATATGCAGTAATCATAAAATCAATATTTTTATCATCATATATATCCAAGTTAGTGCATTGTTTAGCACTTGAAGCAATTTAAAAATGAGAAATCAATCTACACATAACGTGATTATGAGAAAGATTCAATTTCTCATACATTTTTCTTTTCAACAAATCAAAATTTATCCCTTCTCTTATATTAATCATTTTTTTCCTTCAAATATCACACTTTCATTTTCTTAAAATATTCTTCCATTTTAATATACAAACAATAATAATTTCATTCATCCTGCATTTGTAAAAAAAAGGAATTCAAACATAATATTATTCTATATGTCTAATTTTAAAAATAATATAATAAATATTTCATAAATAACTTAATCTATTCTTTTGTACTAAGTACCACTAAATAATATTTTAGTTGTATTCAATTTATTCATAAAATTATTAATCTAACAATATTTTTTAAGTAATAATATAAAAATAAAGTTGAATTTAATTGTGATATTATAACCAATAAATTTATTCATATATTCATGACTAATAAATATTAATAACAAAAATTACTTACCTGATATTCTTAGAAATCACCTCTAACAATTTTTCAGATATCACAAACCATTCATGCAAATGTTTTTGCATGAGTGTTTGTATACAATTTTTTTCTAGACAAAATATTGAACCTACATCTTATTATCCAGGGGATTAAATAGCATGATAAATTCCTACTAATTCATTTGTAAAAAAGATGAAACTTATCTGATGATAACTCATGGTTCAATCTCAACAAAATTTATCTATGCAGCAAACAAAATTTAACAAAGGTAAACATGTGGCCTAATTACATTAGTTTCCTTTCTAACAAAGACAAAACTTACTTTCTTCCATGTGAAATACGAAATTAACGTGACTGTGTCATGTGTCCAGAAAGTAAGTCCCTCAGCTGTTCAAATTTGAATTTTAAAAAAAAAAAAGTTTGTCATTGCTACAAACGAAATTTATAGCTATTTTGACATATGTTAAATTTTATCTGCATTAGAAATAAAATTTATATAAAATAAAATAAATTTTATCTATTAGTGGAATGAAACAAGTGGTGATATAACAAAGAGACTAAAAAAACATTTTAAAAAAATCTTATTTTAAGAATTTATTTTTTTAAAAAATATTATAAAAATAAAAAAACTAACGAAGAGAGGGCACAACGAGAGAAAGACCTAATAAACATTTGTTTTTTATTCTATAAAATAAGGTAATTTTTTGTTGTTGTCCAAAATTAAATGTGTTTTGAAAACAATATTCAATTATAATACAAGATTTTTCTTAACAACTTTTAGTGTCCTGCATACTTTTATAATTTATTATTGGTTAGAACACATATTTGATCCTTATAATATTTATTTATATATTATTTTTTATAATTAAAATTTATATTTTATTTTTTATACAAATTATTTTACGTTTTGGTTCCTCCACCTAATATCGTTAATGCATATTAAAGACAATGATTAATTCAAAAATTTTACTTAAAAACTAAATTGTTATTTGTTTTATATAAAGGACTAAATTGAAAAATTGTATTAAATATAGTAACTAAATTTACAATTTAGCCTGAATAATTCTAATACTATTATCTCATATTTGTAATTTGTATATTATTAAAGAATATATTAAGTTAATTTTAATTTACATAAATAAAATATTAAATTAATTTAGAATTTATAAATATGATTTATATGAAAAAATTTAATCTTATGATTAATTTTAAAATAAAATTATATAATAAAACAGCATTAAATAAAAATAATTAGTATACTCAAATTTTTATATATACAATTATAAATTATATTAAAAGAAATACAGAAAAGTGTAAGTTCTTTCGATGAAAGAGAATTCACCCATCCATCGTTTTCCACCCTTCTTTGAAGATTTCAGTCTGATAATTTGAATCTGTCAAGTCCTCTATACATCTCACATCTAGATATTTGACCAAAATAATGCAGCTGTTGGATATTCCATCGCCTATTTATAATAATAATAATAATAATAGCCAACAACTAACTAATCAACCAATAATTTTATTTGATAAAATAATGATAGTAGTAGTTAGAAAGAGAGAATTTCACATCACAGTAATTTATTAAAAAAAACCTTCAAGTGTAATTACTAGTACTTCTGGCTAATCACCAGTTTATCACTTGTGACATAACCTTGGCTCACTTTCTTGTAATAAATTTTCTAAAAGAAATATATATTAGAATTTAGAAGAAAAGAAAACTAAAAAAAAAAAAAAACACACAGCATTTTCATCCCTCTCAAGGTGCTGTGTTCACTTGCAGCACCCGAAAATCAAAATCGCCACCCTTTTTCCACCCAATTTTCTCCATAAACCCTAGATTTACCTAACCCACCGACCGAATAAGAAATCCACGACGCGAGCAACAGATTTGTTTTTGCTCCGAGGCTGTTCGTGTCGGAGCATCGCCATGTTTTTTGTTCGAGGAAATTGATGATTTTTCTGGGCACTGGGTCGTGTTTCGTTTGTGGGGTCACCGCGAAAAGCGATAAGTAACGAGCTTTGGGGTTGAATCGTGGTGGGTTTCTCGAGTATGCATAGATCTGGAGCTACGATGGCTTGGAACGTGTTCAAGTTCTGCACGGCTCTGCGAGGATTGGGCTCGATCATGATATTGTTGGTTCTTGGGGTCGTTGGTGTCACTTATTATGCTGTTGTTTTGACGAATTATGGCCCTGCTTTATATGCTGGAGGGTTTGATTTTCTAATTGCCTTGGCTGTGTTGATCTTGTTTCATTGCTTGGTAAGCTTCCAGGACTGTGGTTTTTTGTTTTTTATTTATTAATTTTTTAGATTCTTTGGTTTTTTAATGGGAAATTCAGGTTAAGAATATAAGTTATTTGTTAATTTGTTGGAATTTATTACTTATTAAAATTAGCTGCAAACAGATAATCATGATCCTTTATAGGGTTTATATAATGAGCTAGAGTATGTTGTTTATTAATTTTTTAGATTCTTTGGTTTTTTAATGGGAAATTCAGGTTAAGAATATAAGTTATTTGTTAATTTGTTGGAATTTATTACTTATTAAAATTAGCTGCAAACAGATAAGCATGGTCCTTTATAGGGTTTATATAATGAGCTAGAGTGTGTTGTTCAAATGATGATTCTGAAATGATTGAGTATTTTGAGAAGCAGTTGAAGTTTGAATATACTGTTTGAAATGTGGAATAGAGATTTCAGCTTCTCATAAAATTATGTAATGTAGTAGTTCAATGCATTAATGGGATGTCGTTTCTTTGGTATGTGAATGAAGTGATATCATAATTTGGAATTTTTGTCATGATTATGCAGTTGGTTATGCTATTATGGAGTTACTTCTCTGTCGTTTTTACTGATCCGGGTAGTGTCCCTCCAAACTGGAGGCCTATGATTGATGCGGAAAGAGGAGAGGCTGATCCATTAGTTGGGTCAGAATTCAGTAACGTGCCTTCTGATCCCAATCAACGGGTTCGGTACTGTCGAAAGTGCAATCAACTCAAGCCGCCTCGATGCCATCATTGTTCAGTTTGTGAGTTTTAACATGTGTTTCCATTTTTGTGTTGCCACGTTGGGAACAAATCAGACTTTGACGGTTTTTGGCTTTACACCAGGTGGGCGTTGCGTGTTGAAGATGGACCACCATTGTGTGTGGGTAGTTAACTGTGTTGGGGCTCTAAATTACAAGTACTTCCTTCTTTTCTTGGTATGGACACCTTAGCTGGAGTTATTATTTTATTATCTAGTTATTACTCATGTGAAGTATATTATTTCTCACTTGCAATGATTGTATTTGATATCTCTGATTTGCTGCAGATCTGTGCTAATAATCTTGTGCTACTCACTGGGTTCAATAAGTTAGAAAGTATAAACATACACATACTAAATTACTTCTATCATGGTTTAAAATTTCCTTTTCAGTCAAGAACTTAAATATCACCAACTAGCCATGTTATTGAATTATGGAATGTGTATCAAACTTCTCTGTTTTTGAGTTGGATAGGGGCCCTTATTCTGGACAGTCCTAGTGATATTCATGTTATCATTTGCAGAGGTGTTATGCCAATCATGGTAGTCAAAATCGCGTTTTGGATCGTAGAATCGATTCTACGATCTCCAGCCACGCCTCCGTGCTGAGTCGGTGTTGGGAACACGAAATGGTGGGATCGTTCTTGCTGGGACATAAAAACGTTGAAAACGCACAATTCCGATATGCAGAGAAGAAGATATTTTGGGCCAACGACCCGCGACCCGACCCGACTTCATTAAAGGAGTTGGAACCCTAAAATCCCAAAAACTCCGCGACTTCTTCCTTTCTTCTTCATTCTGTTCAGCGAGACTTTACGTCTCTGTTGTGCAACTTCTCTGCGTTTTTCCGGCGACTGTGATTTGGCTCCCCGACTGGATTTTTTATGTGATTTGGTCTAGGATTTTCTGCTTTCTGTGCTCTGTTTTGGTTTGCGATCCCTGTAGCTTTCGCTCCGATGACTGTATCTGCTCCGGCGAACTTGTCTATGCCGGCACTGTGCTTTGCACCGGCGACCTTGTCAAAGTGGAGCATTTTGCTGTGGTGGTCATCCTAGTTGTATTTGCAACCATCGGAGCCTCATTCACAGTGCAACAGTGCCGCTGGAGTATAAGTAGTCAACTTTTCCTTTCTATCCCAAGAATGAAGCAAATTTTAGGGTTTTTTAAGGGTAAAAAAGACTTCTTAATTTTTAAAAATAATCTGACTTTCCCTTTTAGCCCTTAAAATGACTTTATTTTAAATCTTTTTTAGGAGTAAAATAGTCTTTCTAACGGAATACCTTACCTTATCCATCTTTTCCTTCTTCTCTGTCTCTGTTTTTAGCATTTTCTTGTCTCTGGTTTGAACTCTTCCCTCATTTGTCTTTGTTTTACTTCCCCATCTTTATATTTATACTATTTTACATGCATTTATACAATTTTGTAGGATCTTACGATCCGTGTTACAATCCTACAAGTTACGATCTTTCATCCCCTCTCCGATCCTACGTAAAATCTCGATTTTGACTACCATGATGCCAATGAGAAATGTTTCTTTGTTAATGGACCACCTTTAGGGTTTAGGTGCCCTTTTGTTTTTTGTGTGCAGTTTTGGGATGCATGTATATAGGGAAAAAAAAGTAAGTGAGATAGAAATAATTGTATAGGGTGTCAATTTTTAATGGTTCAAATTACACTAGTACAAAAAAGGCCTTTTATATCGGTTAAAAACGACTTTTAATGTTGATTGGTGAACCTATGTAGATAAAAGGGATGTAGTAAGTGGGGAAATTTTACATCAGTTAACCAATCGATGTAGAAAACGTAAACATTTTACTTCAATTCTTTAACTAAGAAATGTTATTTCCGTTGTTCATCAATGGTGTTAGTGTTCTTCATACAGTTTAGAAATGTTTGTTAATGTCAATAGCGTTGATGTTCATTCCTTACATGTCAATATTTATTCGGTATTTAATGTTCATTGAGTCTGTTAATGAAAAATATGCGGTATTCATTGTCAATGTTCATCAATATGTAGTGTTCATCTTCAATCTTATTCGATATATAATGTTTATTATCAATCTTTGTTGAATCTGTAAATAAAAAATTTACAATGTTTGAAAATATATGATCTTCATCAATGAAGAAGAAAACACAGAATGAAGCAAAATAAAATCATTAATATACCTAATAAGAATTTGTTTTCATTAATGGCGTAACAAAACATATGATGAAGTAAAAATCCTAATAGAAGCTTGAGAATGTAAGTAAAAATATGTGTTCACCAACTCCAATTTATGTTATTTCACTAGCATGCACCTTTGAAATATTTCATTTTAAATTAATTCTACATCAGTTCTAGAAATAATTGATGTAGAAAATATTTTTTACATCAGTTATTTTTGGAATTAATGTAAAAAGTACTTTCTACATCAGTTGTTCTTGAAACAGACGTAGAAAGCACTAGCGCGCAAAAATGAAATATTTCCATTTTAAATTGATTCTATATCGGTTCCAAAAACAACTTATGTAAAAAGTATTTTCTACGTTAGTTTCAAAAATAACTAATATTAAAAGTTCTACAATTTTAATCGTAAACTTTAAATAGACATAACTTTTAGCACATTACTCTAATTTATGCATATTATATATCTATTTCATATTACTTTTTGAGATCTATCTAATCCAAAAACCCTTTACACAAACTTCTTTTTTTTTCAAAATTCTAACATTTTCTTTATTTTTTTGTTTTTTTTACTTTCTACATTGGTTATTTTTACAACTGATGTTAAAAAGTTTCTGTTATTTCAAAAATGTCACCGCTTTTTTTTATTAAATCGGTTATTTATTAACCAATGTAAAAGCCTGTTGTAAAATGTCTTTTTTGTACTAGTGTGATGGAACTCTAGACTAATAGTGGTGGACTGAAAGTAGAACTTATTTATGACAATGAAGAGTGGGTAGTCTTAAAAGTAGACTTGTCATGTTTCATGGTTTAGAGGCTAAGCTATGCTGTCAGAAACTTTTGTAGTCAATACCCCTAGTCAGAAACTTTCTTTGGGAAGCTAATGTTATCCAAATTGTGATATTGGTTTTTTTGCTAATTATTCACCTTGGGAGCCATAGTTGATGGGGAGGTGAAGGGAAAATGGCTTTTTCTGTCTAAAGTAGCGAATAACAGAAGCTATTTTTTTGTTGCTTTTAATTTCAATTCCAGTGGGCAGATTAATGTGAATTTCATTCTAGGTCTTAACATTATGTTCATGATGCTTTCCAAGTGGCCCATATTGAGGCTGTGATTATTTTGCAAATTAACACGTGATTGGTATGAAGTGTATGATTTGACATATACGTAGTAAGTCTTCATATTTTTCCGGTTACAATAACATTGATAGATGTTAATTTGTTTAATTATTGCTGCCAGCTCAAAATACTTACCTTGGTTAATATGATTTGATTAAATCTTATTGCAGTTCTACACTTTTCTTGAGACGACTCTTGTGACTGCATCCTTACTGCCGCATTTCATCGCGTTCTTTAGTGATGGAGAAATTCCTGGAACACCTGGCTCTCTTGCTACAACTTTTCTTGCTTTTGGTAGGGTCGCAGAACATGGTTCTAGCTGTTGGTTCGATCTATGAATTTCTTTAACAGTGTTGGATTACCTGCAGTTTTGAACTTGGCCTTTGCACTGAGCGTCTTAGGATTTCTCATCATGCACATTTCTTTGGTGGCTGCTAATACGACCACTATTGAGGTAAACTTTTGCATAAAAATAAGCTAGAGAAAATTGTGTTCTTGTTTTTCTCTTTTGATTTGGGAAAGTAGATCCCTAATACATTTTTTTCATGAGTTCAACATGAGGAAACTGTTCTGCTCATAGTAGCATTTGAATTGAATATTATATGACACAAACTGTACCCGATGGTGCAGAGGTAAATGCTTTTGTGCGAGTGTGTTGTGAAAATGTTACTGTATTCTTCTATATAATTCTTTTGTGTGCTTTTTCTTATTGTATTAAGAATTATTTATCACCGACCAAATTTTGTTCCTCATTGTGAGCAGGCATATGAGAAGAAAACTACTCCAAAATGGCGTTATGACCTTGGTCGTCGAAAAAATTTTGAACAGGTCTGTGTATGTTGTCTTATACTCACTGACTTGCACTGTTTTACATCACTCTCTTTTTACGTTTTGTTTTGGTTAATCTTCCTGCTGACTGCATAAAAATTCTCTGATAAATGCTGTTAAAACTTGAATAAAATCCATTTACGATAACATGATCTTGCTGTTTTGAATATTGAAAAGACAATGGCATCTCTATCTAGCTAGCATGAACTAATTTTCACACAGTTCTTTTGCCACCCTTTTTCCTCGTGTGTTGGTTACAATCTAGCCAGTTGAAACTAATGGTGTAAACAAAATTTCATTCATATTCTTAGGTCTACCTCTTTCAAAGTAAGAATGCTTGAAGCAATAGCATAATGTGATATGTGTAGGTTTTTCAAATATTCACTTATGCATGTTTATGTTTGTAAAAGAACTAGATATTCAGATGAAAGAACAACTCTTTTACTATGTTTCTGTGAAAATAAATAGAAAATAATTTTACTCCACTGTTGTTGCCAATAAAAGTATAGACACTGCAAAATGTTCGTTGGATCCTGTAATTTTTTATCTCTTTAAACTTTTGTACTATTTTAGGGTGGTCATATTGTCTCTACAAGGAATCATGGTAACTTCTGAAAATTAAAGGGCAAATTGACAATCTTCAAAATTGGTTTGCAATTGTTTAAGATAAACTAGTCGTATAATTCTGTTTTTTTTTTTTTTTTAACTAGTGTTTATTTATTCTTAGTTTGGTTTAAAATTTTCTTTAACCAGTTTTAAAATCATTTACAGATTTAAATATATAGAATGAAGCAACATAGATAAGGAAAGATTTTATTTAATATTTAAAAGAATGTCAAGAAATAATGTAAAAAAGAAAACAAACCATTCATAACAATGGAATACAATAAAACCAAGTTTACATTGTTTTTGTTTTTAACCAGTTTTTGAAGTTTATAATGCTCATGAAAAACTTAAATTTAAAAACCGGCTCCATGGTACCTAATTATCTAGTTTTTTAAGTTTGGCAAAGCCCACCTTAATGTCTGTTTTAATTTTCTTTTTAGGATTTTTGCTAGGGTATGACTTAGCGAGAAAAAAAAAATTAAAAAAAAAAAAAAAATATATATATATATATATATATTTTATTTTATTTTATTTTTTCCTTAAAAAAACTAGTGTAGTCTATTATAACCCATTACAGTGGGTCCTTCATGGGCACGATAAAAACTGTATACCACTTTCCAGAAGGAACATATTGTGTTATTTAATAATTGGAGAGGATTCAAATCCGATATTGAGATAGTTGGGTCATGACAAATAAATACATGTGCTAGTAGACCATGTGAGTTGTGATGTTTTTCTTTTTGAATCTCCTATTCTGGTATTATTATTGAATTATGTAGATTTAAATATGCTTTTGATTTGTATATTTTGTGAGATTTTTATTTTAGTCGGATAGCGTTCTTGGTTTTATTCCTTAACTTTTTAAATTCAGTACCTTCTGTCTTTGATAATGATGTGGCTAATTAAGTTGTCAAGTGTTAGATTTCTTATGAGGTTTGTGTCATGATTAGGGTCTAAAAATTATGAATTTAAGAATAAAATAAATAAAGAGTAAAGTCAAACTTTGATATAAATAGTTAAGTGAATTATGGAAGATCATTAGGTCACATTATATAATTGATGTTGGTTTGATATATCAGGTTTTTGGGATGGACAAGAAATACTGGTTGATACCTGCTTATTCTGAAGAAGATATTCGAAGGATGCCAGCTCTCCAAGGTCTTGACTATCCATCAAAACCCGACTTTGATTCCCAATAGTTCTAAAGCATTCCAATATATATATATATATATATAAAGAATATATTCACATGATGTAACAAAAATACATGCAGACCCGAGAATCCTCTACTTTCACTCTCTAACAGAATCTAGCGTGTAATTAAATCTGGGACCCTGCCAATTAGATCACAGACACCTTCTATGATGTTTGATTATTTTTTTAAGTGTTTTTTTAAGGTGCTTCTGTCAACTTGAAATGAAGGGGTAGCAATTGGGGGCAGGGTGGTGTCATGTTATGGTTTGACGGGCTAATGTGTCTCTGTTACCATATTGTTAGGAACTGTTCGTCATGCAATGCAATTCTCTTACCTCCTATTTTGTTTTTACAATTCTCTTACCCTTAGTGCTGAATTTATTCAATGCTTGCATCTGAGTAAAGTTTAATTAATGTCAACGAGTCAGTTCTTAAATGCTTTAAGTAAATTTTTGGTCAAGTTTTTTACTTGGAATTGGTTGTTAAAACAATATTGTTAGGATTTAGTAGTGAAAAAGATTAGTTTCTGTCATTACCGACGATGGTTAATTTTTTTTGGTTTCTTAATTTGTTAAGAACTAGATTTTAACAAATATTTAGAAACTAATTTTAATTGTAGCACCTTTTATAAGAATAAAAAATTTATTTAAATCTTTATTTTTAAATATTTTTATATGTCATATGTTGTTAGAATAAAGGTTAATCACATGTTTGATAGCAAATTAAAGTTTTAGTAATTAATTCAATATTTAATTGATAAAGGTTAATAATAAAGATTAATTTTTAACTTGCTTAAATTTGATTTCAAATTTTAACAATTTCTTTGAATAAATATTTATTTTAGTCCTTTAAATTATTTAGTGTAGATCATTTTACTCTTCAATTTTATAAAAAAATTCTATAATTTAAATTTTTTAAAAAGTATTTATTTTAGTCATTTTTATTTTATTTTTTATTGTCAATTTGTCTATAAAAAATAAAATAAATATTTAATAAAGTTATAGAATTTTTGTAAAAATAGTGACTAAAGTAACCAGAATTAAAATGAATATTTATTTTTAAATATAATAATTTTTATTAAAAAATTATTTAAGCCTTTCTAAAAGTGTAAAAATACAATTGACTCATCATGGTTTCTAAAATGAACCAGTGGAGTGGAGTTGTTTGGCTTTTGGTTGTGTTGCGAATTGCGATAGATTAATCTCTTAGTTATAATGTGAGAACAATAATTTAAAATAATTTTTATGCTTCCTCGTATATTATGACAGTATTTTATGACATTTTACATGTAAAACAACTATCACATTTAATTTTGTTAGCAAAGTTAATAATTTATTTTTAAAAAAAATATAAATATATTTTAATATCTAAAATATTGGAAGAATTATAATTATTAATTTAAAGAGGATGTACAGTATCATCTCAAGTTTTTAGGTACAATAACAAACACCTAATTTAAAACATCCCGTCAAATTAAAAAAAAAAAAATGAAAGAAATGTCCACCATAATATAGTTAAGATTGAGTTATAAAATTAATGGTCGTAGAGAATTATCCTAATGCTAGATAAATGTTAATGAGAATAAATAATTATATTATTAAATTTTTTAATATCATAGTAATGAAAACGTATATATGTGTATCACATTATATTATTTAGTCTTTTATATTTTTATGATATAAATATGTTCTCACATATGAAAATATTTTTTTAAATTTTTTTGAATGGCCTATTTACTATTATAACTATTTAATAATTAATATGATAATAATGCTAAATCTAATTTAACATATAAACCTATATGTAGTTAAATCCTAACAGAACGTCACTAAAGAAAATTCGCGAAATCAAAGTAGAATCGAGAAATTAAAATAACAAACATTATAAGTTGTATTTCAGATGCTGACTTACATATAAATTATCCTAAATACGATTTACGTCATAAAAAAAATTAGATAATCATTATTTACAGGTGTGAGTCACAAATTAATATTGAGAACTCTAAAATTTTTAAAAAGAATCTTAAAATATAAATACAGCTCATTCACTTATTTTATTTATGCTTTGAACGTATAATTTTTTATTTTAATATAAAAAATTAATTATATATATTTGAAATAAAAAATAATTTTAAAATTTTATAAAGACTAAGTTTAAGTATTCATAAACAAAATAATTTTGTAAAAAGATTACATTTTTATTATATTGAAATTATAAATATATAAATATTTCTCTTCTCAATAAAAAATTATTATTATTAATTAGTTGTTAATTTTGTTAACATTTTTCATAATATTTCTATGATCATATTTCATGTGTTTTGCCAAATCCCAAACGTTACTTTAACCTCTTCTCCCATTGCCAATATTCCAAAACCTTCTTATGATAAAGAACTGCGAGCACAAACAGACTATATAAGAGAAGATGAAGAAAGGAAATCATTAGTATAGTATGGGCTGAAATTTCATATACAAATTAATTTCTAAATTTAGATAATAAAATGTGTCACGGCAGGGGTTTAATAAAAAAATTAAATAATTTATAACTAGGCTTAAGAATTTATATTTTTCAAAATTAATATTTTATGAGTCACTAGGACTTAAAAGTCTACACTTTCTTTCCATCTTAGTTTACACACACTCAAAATCTTAGTATACATGAAAAAGAAAAAGAAAAAATTCATGATTGTGATTTATTTTTCTGTTTCATATCATTCTTAATGAAGAAGAAACAATTGGATGTTGAATTCTCATTTTATTTATGTAATTCAATGTAATACTTCCCAAAATCTTAATAAATTGACCTAGTGGCAAGGAATTTGGATAAATGCATTTATTATTGTTTTAATTGATGAAAAAATGTCAATACAGTAATACAAGACAACAATAAATAACAATAAAATATTTTTTCAAATTGCAAGAAAAATTTAAAAAAATAAAAAACACAAATTATTCATATTAAAGAAATAATTCAATATAATCGATAAGAAGGTTCTAATAAAGTTAAAGCCAACAAAACATTATAACTCTTATTATTTATGTAAGTTAAGTAAGAGTATCAAATAATATTATTAATTTTTAAAAAAATTTATATCTATAATTAATGAAGTAATTTTTTTATATAATTTTCTTTTTTTTCACACACATATACATGAACACATTCCTCATTCTATAAATGTTTAATAATATTTTTTTATTTTAAAATTTAATATATTTTTCTAATTTTTAAAAAATCATAAAAGTAATTAATAGTATAATTTTTTTATCAATTATCATAAAAAATAAATGAATATTTTAAAAATATTAATATTATTAAAAAATGTTTAAATCAAACTGAGATACCTTTTTAAAAAATATTATATAACATTTTTAAAAATATTTTAAACATACTAAATATATTTATAATATTCTCAAAAAAATAAATTAAATAAATATATGATTCATAACTCTAAAAGACTAATAAATAAATTTACGCACTAAAAACCTTGAATAACTCAACAAAGTATGTATATTTGTCAAACAATATAAAAAGTTTAACTTAATTTTGTTTTATCCCAATTTATTTTAACTAAATTGAGAAAAGTTAAATAGTCCAATATATATTTTTTATAATATACTTAAGAATAATTTTACAACAATCATTTATTTTAGACAAAAATAACACAATTTTTTAAATATATAATCAATGACATATATAAAGATCAAAGAAATGAGAGTTATAAATAAACTAATTTTATATACGCTTTTCAAAGTATATACAATAATTTTATATATATATATATATAACTGTTGATTATTAAATACATAAATCAATTAATATAAAAAATCGTTAATTTTTCATTGCTAACAAATTAATTAATTTTATGAAAACAAATTAAATTTTTACATTTCGATAATTAAATTATCTAAAATGTCATATTTTAATATATAATTTTTTAAATACTATATTAAAAAATTACGTTTTCTTCTAATCTATAATATTATTGTGTGTATCTTTGTTTTTAAAATTTTCAAATCAGTTAAGATATTTTAGATTTGTGTGACAGATTTTCTGTTTTTTAAAACTGAAGCTTACTGTATAAAATTATAAATAGGCACCTATCTACGCCAACAAAATACTGAAGCCATAATTTCTGATCTAAAGTATTGGAAAACCTTTTCTCTTCTCTTTTTTCCTTTGATCTTCCAACAATTTGTGAGGCTTTTAGCTGCGTTCTCCTCACTCAGGTTTGCTTCTTATTCGTACCCAGAAATAATCTTCGTGTTAGAGTTCTCTTTTTGTCTCTTACGATGGATGATCTGCGAGAGTATAGGATTTCTCCCACTTCAATAATCTCGTTGAAGCTCTGCGTGCTTCCTGGGTGCAAATATAGGGTCTCGATTTTAGGGTTCCTTTTAGTTTATTTATTAAGGTTTTATGAAGGATCGGCGATACCTAATTCTGGGGGTTAGGATAATCGCGATCAACGTGGTTGAACAAGGTTAAATTATCGGTCTTTAGTCCAATTCTACTATGGGTTGTGACCTTGATGGACTAAATCTTCCTCGATCGACTTGTTCTGCTGTAGTTTTTGGTGTCTGTGTTCATTGTTTGCTTTACAATTATGTTATTGAGTGTTGTAATGGAAAATTTGGGACATCGGCTTGTGGTTTATGGAAGATTTATTGATTGGATACGTGTCTGATTAGAGATGCAATTGGAATGTTTGTGTTTTTAGAGTATTATGGATATAAAGGTCGCGAAAAGGACGGAACGATTTGGTGGAACGACGTGTGTGTATTGGCGAGCTGGTAAATGCAACAGAAATCCATGCAGATTTTTGCATGGAAACTCACCACTGCCATCTACTGCTTATCACGATGCCAAAAGGCCCAATACTGCTTATCCTTATTCAAGGAGGCCCCATTTGTCTGAGAAGACCTCCAAGTGTAACTCAAAGACAGTATTGATTAGAAAGAGTACAGATAAAGAAGATGGGACAAGTGTTGCCAAGACTTCTCAGAAGCCATCACCAATTATATGTAAATACTGGACAAATGGCAATTGTGTACATGGTGAACGGTGCCGGAATTTACATTCATGGTTTTATTGTGATGGGTTTTCCACATTGGCAAAGCTTCAAGGCCACAAGAAGGTACCTGACTCTAATACCCCTTTTAGTATTAAACACAACAGAGTTTTTTATAAAATTCTTCTGCAACAATTCTTTATTATTATAATTTAATCTAATTTGATCTATGACTCAATTTTTTATTTGTTGTTATAGTAGTTACTAGTTACTGATTAGAATCGTACAGCATTATAGTGTAACTATATGCTCCTATTTGCATGCCTCTCTTTTATTTTAATATCTTTGGAGTAATTAAATTTAAGCTTTTGACAACAGGTCATCACTGGGATTGCCCTTCCAGTTGGGTCTGACAAACTTTATTCCGGCAGCACTGATGGGACAGTTCGTATATGGGACTGCCACACTGGTCAATCTGCAAATGTGATAAATCTTGGGGCTGAAGTTACCTCTTTGATCAGCGAGGGGCCATGGATTTTTGTTGGTGTGCGAAATGCTGTCAAGGTATGCTCTCTTTTTTCATTGTGTGATTATGTCTTTTATATAGGAGTAATGCTTTTAAGCTGATTACATGGATGTGGTTATTGTGAAGGCTTGGAATATTCAGACTGCTTCAGAATTTACTCTTGATGGACCTAAAGGACAAGTACTTGCCATGGTTGTTGGCGATGATACGCTTTTTGCTGCAGCCGAGGTAACTAACCGTACCATGGTTTATGGTTATTTAATTGTAATTCTCTCTTCTTAAACATTTCTTTTCTGTCATCAAACGATTTATGTATCATCTGATTATTTAAATTGCAGAATGGTGGAATTTCTGCATGGAGAGGCAGCTCTAGCTCTGAAGCCACGACCCCTTTTGAACTGGTTGCTTCACTAACTGCCCACAGTAAAGCTGTTGTTTGCCTGGCTGTTGGTGGCAAAATGCTGTTCTCAGGGTCCAAGGACCAAAGTATAAAGGTATGTATATTGCTCCGTGTGGAGTTTCTTAAAAGATATGAACTTTTTTTGAACTGGAGATTGTTCAATATATAGTTTTTGATGAACAGCTCTTGATATTTTGTTTTCTTCAGGTTTGGGACCTTGATACATTACAGTGTAAAATGACACTCAATGTGCATACTGACGTGGTCACATCCCTTGTTTGTTGGGACCATTATTTGTTATCAAGTTCATTTGACTGCACAATTAAAATCTGGGTTGCCACTGAAGAGGGAACTTTGAAGGTGACATATACGCACCGAGAAGAAAATGTAAGTTACTTAACAACTAAAACTTCTGTGAATATGATCTTATTGTCATTGTAGACATCCAGCTGATATTTCTTGTAAAATGTTGATGGTATTGTAGGGTGTTGTTTCACTTTTTGGGATGACTAATGCAGAAGAGAAGCCAATATTATTTGTCTCGGGCAGAGACAATTCAGTTCGCATGTATGAATTGCCATCATTTGCAGAGAGGGGTCGTCTATTTGCAAAGCAAGAGGTTCGATCAATTGTATTAGGTCCTGGTGGTCTTTTCTTCACTGGGGACGGGACTGGTTTGCTGAAGGTTTGGAAATGGTTGGAGGAACCCAAGATAGTTTCCTCTTAACTATAGAAATTTGAATGATACTGGGGACTGAACTGTGAACAATATCCATTGTAAATACGATATATATATCAAATTGAATTTTCCAATTCCATTTCCTTCACTTTGTTCCGTTTTTACTTTTTGTATTGCACATTGCTTATCCATTGTAAATACAATATATATATATATATATATATATATATATATATATATCAAAATGATTTTTCCAATTCCATTTCCTTCACTTTGTTCCATTTTTACTGTTTGTATTGCACGTTGCTTTTATATCAAACGTGAAAAATAACAATTAGAGGAATTTTCAGAATGCACGTAACAATCTGATAATTACAAATGTATAATTTCTTAATATTGTGGATTTCTTTTATTTTTCAATAATTATATATATTCTTTTTTTCATTAAAAGAAGGTATCGCTCCCCACCGTTTGAGAAAGTATTTTTCATGAAAACATCGTTTTTTTTTTTAAAAAAATTACTTTTCAGTTATTTAATTGTTTGGTTAAAATAAAAAAAAGTATAAGCTAAAATAATATAAATTTATTTTTAAAATTTTTTAATAATTTCTAAAAAAGCTGAAATTATAATTTTTACTAAAATAAAAAAATATTTTTATAATTTTAACTAAAGAAATACATTTTATTTACTATAAAATATCTAAAAGGAAATTACTGTAAATATTTTGAAACTCAGGTTTTTTTTTAATAATGTAATCCTGATAAAAATTTACAAGTAAAGTTGCTTGTTTGCTCTAACAACATCCTTACTAAGAGAATCAATACAAGTTAAATATTTAATAAAGATGTTTTTATTTGGCAAATTTACTTGTCAATTTTTGGTAGGATTACATGATAGTGATAATTTCATTGAAAAAAATAATAGAAAGAGCCCCTATATTTCAATAACCAAATACATTGACAATAGATGCACTCTAAATAGTAAACAAAGGCCTATCTTCAACGCGGAAACTAGCAAGTATTACAAAATTAATTAGAGGATGATTTCGTTTAATTTTTTAATATACTTTTCTTAAAGAATGACATGTTATTTTTCTCATTCTTAAATTTAATATTCATATTTAATTGATTATTTATAATTACATCTACATTATTATTTTAAAAAATTTATTTTCTCAAAGTATAATGTTTGGATTTTATTTATTTAATTATGTATATATTTTATAAATTTAAATATGTTTGTTCTAAATGTACTTAATTTCTTCTCTTAAATTTGATTAATGTTTATCAACTTATTGAAATTGTCACTATCACAATATATGCAACTGAAATGTAACTGACCTTGCTTTGATTTTTTTTTAAAATAAAATTAATTTATAAATACTTAATAATATTTATTTTTATCACATAATATCATTTATTAAATTTATTCTTTTTTATATTCTTATATTTTTAAAAATGTAGACATTCCAACAAATTTTTCCTTTTCAAAGAAGTTATCTAGCCTCGAAATCTTTTTGAGGTTATCATAGCCTTTTCTCGATTAAAAAAAAAACAAGAAGAAGGCAACTTCATAGTCAAATATATTTTATTAATTGGAGGAGTAACTTATTCTTTAATACATATTTTTAACATTTTTAATTATTAATAAATTTTACTAAAATGTATAAAAATATAAAAAAATAAATATTCAATTAAAATAAAAATAAAAATAAAAATAAAAATTTAAATAATTTACAATATTCACTAATATGTTTACAATATTAACTAAATAATTAATGAATAATAATTTTTTTAAAAATATTATTTATTAATTCAGTAAGCATTATAATATTTTAATGAAAATTGAGTCCGGTGTAGAAAGAGAGCGCCAGAAGGTTCTAGCTTACGTAAAACAAAGGAAAATAAAATCCACGCGTCCTTCTCTCAGTGTCGTGTCTCTACCCTATAAATAGGTCCCTTCATTACAACAAATCCTTTTAATAACTTAGGATGTTCTGTTCTTCTTTCCCTTAATTCAATTCTCATCCAATTCCTGAGGTAACCTCATCATGTTCCCCATCTATGTAATATTTTATTCTTTTCTGCATTCAAATAATTTTCATTCCAAATTCTTCTACTTTGTACTTCAACTTCAAGGTTTTGAGACCCCTTTTTCTCTTTTGTTTATTAGGCCAATGCTTAAGTTTATAACGTGACAATAATTTCATGGAGATAAATTATGAATTTTGTTAATTTGTTTGACTATTTTTCTGAATGCATTTTTTTACAATGAGGTTGTTTAGTATGTATGTTTAATTAATGTTATAGTCTCAATTATTGTACTTTTTGATTGCTTATTTTTTGTGAAAATGTGTTTTTTTAATATTGGAATTTTGTTCTGTGAAGATTAGATAAAGAAGATGCAGAAGGGTAGAGAAGTGCGAGATAATATTCATGAACCAAGAGGATTTGGAGATTTTGGTGGCTTTGGGTTTCATTCACGTATGATGCCAAGTCTTTTTGGTGGTAGGGATCCATTTGATGATCCTTTTTTCACCGACCCATTGGATAGATTATTTAGTCCAAGTTCTGGATCAAGAGCAATGCAGAAGACAAACAAAGATAAAGGAATAGTGATAGAAGAATTAGACCCTGATGATGAGGGGATTGGTAGTAATTGCCCTGAACCTGGAGAGGATTTTGATCTGAAATATTCTAAACCAACCAAGGAACCATCCGTTGAGCATCCAGATGATTATGATGATAATGGTAATGTTTTCTTTCTGTTCTTGTTTTGTTGTTATCTTTTTATAAGTTATTTTGTTTAACTTTTTTTTTATTTGCTTTACCAATTTATGTACTGCTTCATGTGATGGCTAGCAGAGAGGAGGAACAGTGATGCAACTTACAAGAATGACCATTACATGGCAGAACCCCCAAAGGCTCGTAATTTTACTTTTAAGACTAGCAGAGTATCATATGGTGGTATAGATGGTGCATACTATACTTCTTCCAGAACCAGAAGGACAGGGTCTGATGGGGTATGGAACTTACTCTTATTGTCAATTGTTGTGAGAATTATTATTATTATTATTATTAGGTTCTTGTTAGCTAGTGCCTTTAAATTGGTTGATGAACCAAAAGTGAAAAGTTTTTATTGGAAATTACGGTGGACTCAATTAGAAATCACAAGAGAAAGTGCATTGATAACATGAGAAATGCTAGCAGCAAACTATCTAACACACTTTTTATTATTGTTTTAAAATTTATTGAAAACTACAAAGTCTTACTTTTAATTTAATTATTCTGATATTCTCATTCTAGTCATACTTTGTAGCTTTTAATAAATTTCAGCCAATAAGTGAAACTGTGTTAAGAGAGTGCATTCTTATTCTTCTTCTACAAACATATTCCTCTAGAACGTTTTCTTGTAAAACTTTTCACTTTTGATTCAAGGACACTAGTTAGCGTTTTCTTTATTATGATTTGCTCTAAATCTATCTTTGTGAATCAGGTGGTAATGGAGGAAAGCAAAGAAGCTGACTCAACAACAGGCCAGGCATCACATAGGATCAGCAGGGGAATCCATGACAAGGTGTGTATATCTGATTGGTCTTAGAATGCAATTCTCTTGTCAATTTTAACTAATTTCAATGTTAAAAGATAGATGAAAAATAAAAGAGTCACCAGACATATCATACATACAGTAAACTTTACGAAGACTCATAATTTGCTATGATATTGGATGTCTGGTTCAATTAGGAATAAAACAAAACCTCATACTAAATAAAGAAATTTATTAAGACGTGTTTGGTACTCAGGTACTTGTCCTGATGTTATTTTAAATATAGAAATTAAGCTTGTCTCTAATGTATGTAGGGTCATTCAGTTTTGAGGAAGCTTGACTCAGATGGTAAGGTTGATACCACGCAGACACTGCACAATCTTAATGAAGGTTTGTTCCTGCTGTTTTCTTTCATTATTTATTTGACAATATCAAGAGTGAAGAGACTTTTTCTCTCTTCAATATTGATGTATTTATTTGTTTTATAATATTTCAGATGAGCTTATAGGCTTTGAAGAGGCATGGAAAGGAAATAATAATATAGGACAGTTGCCCGGATTTAATGTGCATGGGAACAAGGGTAAGAATTCTTTGTTCCCTCTGAGTAAGAAAGCTCCCTTTGTTTCTCTTAGCCTTCTGTTGTTGGAAATCCTATTTCAACTTCACAAATTTTCTGCAAATAGCTTGTTTGCAAACTTGATAAAATTATGCTTTCTGTAATGTTATATGATTATATGTGGTTATGATTTAATCTTTGGCTGAAATCATGATGCAAAATAATTTGATCCTAATTCAGATTACAACTTGTCACTCAATGCTGGGAGATATTGGTTTGCTTGTAGAATTACATAGACCTTATGGTACAAGGGAGATTTGTAACATGGCATTTTAAAATGATTATTCTCTACGTGAATTTTGTATTCCATATTCCCAATTGCATATGATGTTCAATTTCAATTTTCCAAATTGAATAATTGTATTTATGCTATGGCTCCCCCGTGAGAAAATGATAGTATTGATGCTCAAGGATAATGCAGATAATCATGTCAAATATATCATGCCCTCTGCATGAAGGGAGATATTCTAACAAGACATTTTAAAACAGTACCTTAGATGCAGGATAGTTGTTATCAAGTATAATCTATGATGTTTTGGCACAGTAAATTTTTCCATCTGTGTTTTATTGTTTTTATTATGTGATCTACAATTCACAACTAGTAAAAGCCCACAATCAAACGTGATGTTTCCTAGATTTGAACTTGTGACCTTTAAATCGCATGGCAACGACATTACTTTTTCATCGCTTCAAGCAGACATTTAGTGTTTGTTTTATATCATAAATTTAAACATTTTACTATTTCAACGTTCCCATTCTAAGCTAAAAATATATACAATTGTCTTTGTAACTGCTCTATTCATCTTCTCAATAGTTCTTATACATGCATTGCACTACTAGTGTACTGAATAAAACTGTTGAACTTACATTTTAAATGCTTTCGGCATCCAACTACATGGATTGAGATTCAAGTGGCAGGGATTGACATTGCAATCTAAGTAGATGAAGTTGACAATGGTATAACATGTTTTATAACTAGGTTACTACGCTTGAGCAACCAAAGTCATGGTGCATACTTTTCTTAACAAAGTTCCATACTTTTTGTTCTCCAGTAGATGGGGCTTGCTTCTGTGTGTTGTTTACTAACTCTTTCTGTGGTTGTTAATTTGTCTGTCAATGTTCCAACATATGTAAAATCATTGTTTCATAACAACTGATTTTTAACATTAATTGTTTAAATAAAATATTGTCTAAATCTTTAGTGTGATGATGTTGTAGATTCTAGCTGTGGCAAGCAGAACAGAAACCAGGTTTGGCCACTTCAATCATTGGAGAAGGCTAGAAGAGCCAGAGGATTTGCATCAAATAATGAGACAGGAACCAATTCAGGGGGAAGAACAAAGAAAGTGGTTCGAATCAATATTGATTGAGTAATAGGATTTGGTAGTTGATTGCTACCCATTTTGTTTGTAATTGCGGAATGAGGTGTGCTCCGGTGTCTAAGTTAGCATTAGAAAAGCATGAGCCTGTGCAAGCTCATGGTGCACAATTGAGAGGGTTATGATTTGTTTGGTGATAAAGCTTCTCATGTACAATAATTAATTGGAACCATTTTAAATCTTGAAATTTCATACTTCTGTTTGAATGTATGCTAAAGCAGCTATTTTCGTGTCATCGTGCAATCTGTGACATGTAAATGAAGTGTTAACATCAAGTGTGTTTTGTGTCATAATTTAACCTTAACATCAGCTTTTAAGGTTGAATTAAGCTGTAGTTTATTTAAATCTCCCGTCTATTGTAAATATGACTTGTGACTAAGTAACACAAAGGTTAAATCCAAATTTAAGATTAAAATGTCTAATTTATGGGACCTTGAAGCTACATAAGATTCCATGCAAGTTGAGCCTTGATTCTTTATTGTTTCAAATCCCTTTCAGAAACGTAATTAGATGATAAACAAGCGCAAGCTGATCTTAAGACGTGCGGATATCTTATTTACAATAACATTCTTCTGAATTGTCACGTGTATTCTGTTGATGGTATCACTTCTGGGTTTAATTTCTCATCCTCTTTCCGCGTATTATGACTCAACTGTAAAATCATTATTCTTTCAAATTTAAATTTTAAAACAAAGTCTTTTTGGTGCCTTGAATGATAATCGATTACTTTCTAATCTTATCTCTCAAACCCAAATGGGTTACTCTATGATTACTATATAAACGTCATTTTTACTAGTAGACAATTATGAATTTGTACTTTAATTGTGTCGAAGGCCTAAGTCATTCTTAAGTCCTTATTTTCACCAGCTGGATTTGAAACATATGTGCATGCTTGTGGAGTTTGGCAAGAGTGGAATACCACTAAACTTTATGTTGTGGATATATTAGAGAATAAATTTAGACCCAAAAAAATGAGAAAGGTACACTTCAGGTGTAAGGCGTCAATTACCTTTGCTTTCGAAATATCTCTTCAATATATTTTATTTTATTATTATGAAACAAATAAATTTAAAACAAATTTTTTCTTTTATATGAATCTTTTTTTTGACTTTGTGTAATGTTATGCATGAGTAGGGATGGAAACAGGTCAGGCCGCCTGACAAGAGTATGTGGCCTAGTCTAGTTTATGCTTGACCTTTTTAATAAACAAATCAGGCTCAGGCTTTTTTTAAGGCCTTTTTAAGTAAACAAGTTAAGCCTGAACTGTTTATAAAGCCTGTTAAATCTGACAGGCCAGCCTGTATATATATATATTATAATTTAAAAATAGAGCTATCAAAATATATTTAAATAATAAAGTTATTTAATAATATATTTTTATATTCTTAATTCTGTTATTATTAAATTAATATATTATGTTATAATTTTATTTATTTATAATTATAATAAACAAAAATTATATTATATTAAAAATTAAAAATATTTATACATGATTACACTTTTTTAATAATAAATTTATTTAATAATAAATTATTATATTTAAACAATTTAAAAAATAGTTAAGTCTTTGACCAGGAATAAGACGTAATCAAAATTAAACAAAATAAAATTTAAAAATAAAATAATAAAATTATATTAACATATTTTTTATACTCTTAATGTTATTATTATTAATTTAATTATTTAATTATTATATTAATATATTATGTTATAATTCTTTTTATTTATAATAAATAGAGATTGCTTAAATTTGAATTATATTTTATTTGAAAGTAAAAATTTATTAAAAAAATGATAACAAAATAAAATAAAAAACTTATTATAATATATATTTATATATATATATATATATATATATAATCAGACTATGTAGCAAATAATATAAATAATATAATTATAAATAAATTATATAATAATATATATTTTTATAACTTGCACATGTTTTAATTAAATTATTACTCAATTTATCAATTTATATGTAATTTATAAGTATATGTTTTAATTTATTGTATCACTAATATTTTCTATATTACATTAATATTATAATGTAGTTAATTTTATATTTATTTGTTAATTTAAAATAACAAATCAATGAGATAAATAAAATTAAATATTTTGTAATTATTTTTTAATTTAATAGTTATTATTGTTTTCATTTTATATATATATAGTACATTAAGTTTAAATTTTTATATTAATTTTTATCACATATTTTTTAATTAAGATAAAAATTTAGAAATATAAGTTATTTTAATTTAAATATAAATTTTAATAATTCTTCCTATACTCATATGTTATTTTTCTGCATTTATAAATTTTATAATATAAGTATTTATCATCTACAATTTTTATAATGACGATATTTATTTACTTTTTAAAATATAATAATTTTTTTAGCTGATTCAATAAATTTTATAAGTGTTATTTTTTGTAATTATTTTTTTAATTTAATAGTTATTATTATTGTCATTATATATATATATATATATATATATATATATATATATATTGCAGTAAGTTAAAATTTAATTTTTTTAAAACATATAATTTTTTTTAATTGATTCAACAAACTGTGTGAATGTTATTTTTTTTTATCAATTTTATGTATTTACTATAACTTTATTTGTTGAATATAAGATGTCTTTAAATAAAAAAAATATGTTTTTAAAATAAAACTAAAATATTTACTATTTATATAATTTTAAAAAATAAATAAAAAATATAAATATAAATTTTATTAATATAAAATATTTATAATTAATACTTAAATAATATTTTAAAAATTATTTATAAAATTATATAAATATTATTATAATTATTTATTAATTATTAAGAATATAGATAGAAATTAGAAAAATGTATAAACTAATTTAATAATAAAATATTTATATTTTTATTAATATTATTTTTTTTTAACAGGCTTTATTAACAAGCTTCAGGCCAGGTCAGGCCACTTAAACAGGACAGATCAGGCCTAAAATAAAGTCTTTAACAGGTAAATTCTTGCCGATAATATAATAAATGTCTTATATGATTGGTCATATAATCGTGGTTATATAGATGCTTTTTATGAAATATCTTTAATTGGAAGTGTAAGAAAATTAAGTAAAATAAATTATTTTATGGATAGACAAGTAATTGATGGAATTCCAAATGGAATTGGTGTTACAAGTTTTTTTATGGGAGAAACTATTAAATATATAGGGGGTGGACGACTTTCTTCATATATCTTATTTTTTATATTCTTTATATTAATCGTTTTAGTAATTTGGTATTATTTATTTATTAATAGTAATCAAGATCTTATTAACTAATCTATTGTTAACTAATCTTATTAATAGTAATCAAGATCTTATTAACAGGCCAGACTCAAGCCTAATAATTATGTTACAGGCTAGTCCTGTTTAGAGTAAAGTCTGACCTGACCTGACCTGACCTGTTTCTATCCCTATGCATGAGACAAAATGTTCTCCTTTAGTTCTTGATGAATACCGGTTTTCTTTTACATGTCCCATGTTTTACTTCTTTTTTTTTCTTTTTTTCTTTACTACTGCTTTATGGTTGTTTTTACAATAAAACCAAGGATAAATAATTTTGTTGTATCCATTCTTACAAAATTTGGCAAATCAAACAAACTCTAAAGCGTTCATATAGTCAAACTACTGAATACTAAAGCATTTGCATTTTGTGATTACGTGTTGATTTACCTGCTTATTATTGAAAGGATCGACCTTAATGTATGATCTAAAAACATGAATTTTTTTTTTTCACTTAAGAAATTAAGCACTCGCACAATGTGTGGGTGATTCAATTTTCTTATACAACTATTGAGAAATAAAGAAGACTTACAGCAGTTGAGAATGAAAAAAGTAAAGATAATATAAGTGAAGAGCTGTAAGGGCATTTGTCCTAAGTATTTTGAATAAAAGTATAAATTTTAAGGTAAATTTTACGATGCTATGAAAATTGAGAGAATATTATATACTCTTTTATATATGGAACAATCATAATGGTTAATTTTGATAGTAGAGTTAGTAGTTTATTTAGAAAAAATATAAATATCTTTTAATATTTTAATATAATGTAAGAAGCGCATTCAATATTTCTTTAAGATTAAGAATACCGAAACAAGTACTTAACTTCAATTACAAAATATTTCATGTGGTATTTACAATATTAAAATATTTCTTTATTTACAGAGAAATGCTACACTTTTTTATTGGCTAGATGTTTTAAAATAAAATTGTATTGCATTTGCTTATTCTTATAGAAAAGTGTATTATACTCTATGTTCTTCTAATTTGAGTTATCTGTGGAGAGAGAGATTTGACCAAAAATAGCAACATGGAAGACAGCTTTTCTACGGCATCACAAAATAATAAATTAATGGAGAAAATGGTCGGTGAAAACTTTTGAGAGGGTTTGAAAAAGCCACGTGAAAAGTCAATCACCAATCGAAACACAAGATAAAATCAACATAATATCTTTTCTAAAACACTTCTAATTTTGTGTATTAATTAAAAATCGTAGATTGGTTTCTTCATAATGTAAAAATAACTAAAATAAACTTTACCATTTTGAAGAAAAAATTATCTACATAACTGAAAATTAAACTTAATTAATATACTTAAGAGACACGTTTATTTATTCATATGTCAAATTTTGTAGACAATAAGACTTTTTACTTTCTTAGATGTCTTGCTATATTTTACTTCTAACATAACAATCCCTTTTCTGGGTAAAAGAAAAGAACAAATTTGTTTTGGGACCAATATTGTTAGTAGTATAAAACTAGCGATAACATTTTATGAAAATTCTTATTCTAAATAGCCAGAAGATCGAATAATTGTAAATTGAATTGCAAGCACCCTTGCGTTACCGAAAACTAAAAGCATCCCCAAATTATGGATAGTGATTGCTACTACACCTCTAATGTTTAATATATGATAGGAAATGCAATATGAAATTGTTTATATTTTCTTTCTCAATATTAAGTACACGTTCGTCTATCACAATTTGTTTTAAAGGAATTATTATGAAGGAGTGATCACTTGAATAGAAACATGAATAGGTAGCATGGAGCTAGGATTTAGTCTTGGATATTATAATAACAACCAATTCTTAAATCCATTTGTTATGTATATCTTTATTTTTTTAGTATAATTTGGAACAAACAAGTTCCAAGTCCTAAATTTGTGATTACAAAATATATATATATATATATATATATATATATATATATGAAATGCAATAATTAAAACTAAAGGAAGATATTAAGGATGAATAAGTTTATAATTAATGCAAACAACAATGATGATAATTAAACCTTCTTTTACTTAACGGGATTAATTACATGGATCAAACAAAACCATGATATCTATAGACAAATCGTTGACCTTTCATTTGATTTGATTTTTTTTTTTTTAATGACTTTCTTTATAATTTTTCCAGCGTCCACCTCTAGCGACGGGATACCCTTCATTTGATGTACCCTTTTACTGAAATTTCTATAGATTTTCTCTACACATTAACTAAAGCGATCTTAAAGTTTTTTCTCATTTTATTGTGAATATTTTTATAATATAATAATGAAAAATGGGTAATTAAAGGTTAATTTTTAACAAATACAAAAATGGATGTTTAATTGGCTATAACAGGTGAGAATCATAGTTCAACAACTTCAGTATTAGTTATATTATGGCTAGATAGAATATAGACGACATTATTGAGGGGCAATAGCATCAATCAATTGGTGCATATATATTTGATGAAAAGTGAATCTAACAGGAGTATATAGTTTTAGTTTTTTATATTGTTTAAAATTAACCAATTAAAATAAAGAGAATGAAGCATGAACAACGCTAATAAAGACAAAATGAAGCATGTTACCAATATCTTGGATAGACCAAAGCTCCAAAAGAAATGTTTAATCAATTCGTTAATTGCATACAATTAGGAAGGGTAGGCTGCAAGAGTCAAGTAATGTATATTGGAAGGCAACGTGGTATCCCTTGCATTATCCGTTGTGGTTCAACCTAAAAAACAGCATGAACCTAATTTCTAATTTTGAGGTTATAATAACAGTAAATTTATAACCTTAATTAAAATTTCGTTCGCTATATTATTGATTATTTTGGTTTTTTTTAAATATAATAATACCTATTCATTGAACAAACTTCAGAATAAAATTAATCTTCCTAAAGCAGTTAGAGGCACAACACCAACATTACAATGATTAGAAATTAGTTTATGAAGATTTTCATTTGGTTAACTGAGTCTAAATAAAGGCATAAATATTTTATATATCAATGAAAATAAATGATTATATATATATATATATATATATATATATGGACAGAATTTTCTTATAATGGTATAAGTTTAAAAATTCTTACACTTAATTTGAGTATTTCATTTAACTTAAATCTAACATATTATAATTTATTACTTTATTGACCGTTAGATTTAAGTTAAATGAAAGGTTCAGATTGGGTGGAAGAGTTTTTAAACTTACACTGGTGTAAGAAGATCCTTATCCATATATACAGGGGGCAGGATCTTCTTACACTGGTATAAGTCTAAAAAATCCTACACCAAATCTGAACCTTTTTATTTAATTTATATCTAACGAGTTATAATTTATTATTTCACTAACTATTAGATATAAGTTAAATAAAAGGTTCAGATTGAGTGTAAAATTTTTTAAACTTACATTAATGTAAGAAAATCATTCTTTTACACACACATATATATATATATATATATATAATGATTAAACGACAAGTGCTTTTACTTCCAGCACTGAGGATGTCCAGGTACTTTATATATATGTTCAAATCAAATCAAGTAAAAAAATATTCTTAGATTTCGGGACTGAATTTGATTATATATAGTTTAAATGTACATACATTATTTGTAGCTTGGCAAGATTTGGACGGTGATGAAAGTATGATTACATAATATCGAGTGTGTGAGCTTTCCGGGGGATACTAATTTCCTGACATAGAAGACTGCAAAACTATTGCAACTATAATTAATTAAGATTTCGAGGTAAATATATATATAGAGAGAGAAATCCACTGCGTATTATGGATTTTTTTTCACTGTTTTTCTCACCATTGCTGCTATTGTGAGTGGTGAACCTTGATTTTATATTGGAAGAATATATCACTAAGCCCCTAAAATAACGATTTTATTTGTTTATTAAAAAAGATTGTTGAATGAATCTCGAAAAACATCTCACCATTAAAAAGTTGATCAGCTGAGAATCTTTAATTTTGGATATATTTGAAAATTTTCATTATAAATACTCATGTTAACCACTACGGAACTCAAGAAAGGAAGGTGGAATCTGAAATTCTACGAATAATGGTCTTTGTTTTCTATGGGAAATTTTAGTAGCCAATTTCCACCTTCATCGAAACATGGTTCTCAAAGGAAAAGGAAATCCCCTCCCATAACGTGTTCCTTGCCCTGCTTTTGTACACATATTGGAGAAGATGCGCCAAACACATTCGTTTAAGACCATTTTTTATAAATAGGTATAATTTACGCAAGATTCATTAGACGAGGAGTAGGATAGTTATCATCTTAATGAAATTTATATGAATTTTACCCAACAATAAACATACATTGAGAATTAAAAACACGTTAAATAATGTGTTGCTAGTAATTTTTAAGAAGAAGAGAATTTAATGTGCTAAATATATATTACTTTGGCTCTTATTTTTCTGTTTATAAAGAGAAAAAATTGTACAAACTATAAAATTTAATTTTGTTAAAATTAATTGCAAAGCTTGTTAATTTAATTTTTTTAATGGGTTTCATTTTACTATTACATTACTTAAATTATATAAATGCTTTATATGGATAGAAGAGTATTAATGAATGACAGTTAATTTTATCTTAAACTTTTACGTAATAGGTAAATAGACATAAATTTATTTTGAATCATTGATATGATATACAAGAAGATAGGTAATATATATATATATACACACACACACAACGAGACTTTCAACATAAATGGTGCCCGTTTGGACGGCAGAATTCAGAGAATCTACAATAACAGCCTCCCTCGGTTGCTTCCAAACTCTAAAAGTCTAAAACAATTAATGGCATGAGGCAAGACAAGCTATGGTTTTCTCATATATATATATATATATAGATATATATATATATAATAGTGATGGCTCCTCAACACCTTGAAGAAACGGTTTTCTCATATCAAAGATACCTTCAAATTAAACCCAAAGAATCTGCAATTTGAGGACAACAAACATGTCTGGTTGGTCACCTGAAAACGCCAAGAGAGCATATCTTCAAGCACTAAATATGGTATGCAACAAGAGCAGCACATCTTATACTTTGTCACACACTGCAAATTCCACTGTTCAATTAATATAACGTGTTTGGATTCACATTTACATGCATATAGATTCACATTTTCTTTCACATTATTAGTTATAATTTTTGCGTTAAATCTGCGTTTACATGCTTCCTGATGTGTCTAAACACATATAATAAGATTCACGTTTACATATTTTTGTTTCACTTTGCAGGCCAAAAGAGGTAAAGAACCTGATGTAGCTGAGTTTATATCTGCTCTAGCAGCAGGCAATAATGCACAACTCATGGTGGTCGCCGGCGCCAGCGTGGCCGGTTCAGCCGCGCTAGCTCTGGCTGCAGCTGCTCACCAAACTGGTGGCCGTGTGGTTTGCATTTCATTTGGACAAATTGAATCACAAGCATCACGAAAAGCACTAGGAGTTTATGGAGATTGTGTTGAGTTTGTTGTAGGAGATGTGAAAAGCCTTGTACTTGGTGATTACAAAGGAGCTGATTTTGTGCTTGTAGATTGTGACATGACCAATGCAAGGGAAATTTTCTTAGCAGCATTTAAAGGGGCAAAAGATGGGGCACTTGTGGTTGGATATAATGTCAAGCATAGGGTCTCACGGTGGAGACAATTGAGGGCATCGTTTTTACCCATTGGAGAAGGGTTGTTGGTGACTAAAATTGACCCAAATTTGAAGGCATTAAATGACAGGGTTGTCCATAGAAGGAAGAATCGTTGGATTGTTCATGTAGATAACCACACCGGAGAGGAACATATTTTTAGGGTCACATCTCCTTATAAGAAACTGCAGATGGGAATTTAAGGCAACAAATTGATAGGTTCTTTTTCTTTTTAATAATGAAATGATTCAAGTATAATATATATTGGTTGAAAAATATTAACAGCGCAATCTTTTGAATATATTTTTCAACACACTTCTAATGAGTGGTCAGAGATCCACTCATTAAAAATGTGTTGAATAGTGTCTTCACAAGAATGTGTTGTCATCCTTGCTCCACATAGGTTTCATGGTGTGAAGGACTTCTAGTTTTTACCTTCTATTGTCTCAGGATGTAAAATAGAATAGGAGCTGAGCTATTAGCTATTCAGTTGTGTATTGACAAGTGTTATGGTGTACATGTATGAAACATTTTGGCCTGTTAATTTTTTTCACAGGCCAAAGAAGCCATATGAATGTAAAATAAAAGGAAAAAAGAGAAAACTATCTAATTTAATATAAAAATCATCAAATGTTGTGATGTATATTTTATGGGCATGGAAATTATTAGTCCTACGAAACTCCATCAAATATTTTTCATTTGTATCCTCTTATTCAATTGTCATGAATGGTGTGCAAGATTAAATTTTAAGAGCAACTTTCACTTCTTAAAAAGCTTTTGTTAAGTCTTATCAGTTGAATCTTATTACATATACAACGAAGAATTTCAACATTCCTTCTAACCTTATAAAATACAAATTTGTTAGCTTAATTTAATTTTTTATAGGCTTATTCACTATAATAATATTAATTCAAAACATTTACCAAAATAATGTTTTTAAAAACTATTTCTTTGTCAGGACTTTTTTTGCCATGTCATTTTAATGTTGTTTTAGTAAATAAGCCTTTTTTAATACTTAAAAATCTATTATTTTTCATTTGAACTTTTATTTTAATTTTTTAAAACATATCCTTCATACTATATTATTCTTTAGCAATAGTACTTTTGTTATTTGTATTTCTGATTTAATCCCTTTTAATAATATGAATTAAGCATATAACAAGATTGAATGGCGTTACTAATTAATTACAAAAGAACATGTTGTCATTGACCTTTGCCGATAAATTCGTAAATATCCTTACTACTAATAATATTTTTTTAAAAAAATCAATATAACAATTATTCTCTTCATAAATGATATTTGGAGAAAAAAGTTATAAATTTTTTTAATAAGGATGTGAAAAAAAAAGTTCAACAAGTAACTCCCTGGAATGCGTTGGAGCTATCTCCTAGTGAAACATTAGGCTTGAGTTTTTTTTTTTTTTTTCATTTTTCTTAATTAATAAATATAAGAAAACTCACATTAACATAACTTTATTAATTTCAAATCTATGAAGAGATTAATAAACTAAAAAAGTGTGTTTTCCCTATTTATATAATTCTTAAAAAATACAATAAAAATAAAATTGTTATTTTAATAAAACATATTAATTGACAATAAAAATAAGCTCCAAAGCGACCTTCATCGAGGAGGCCCACTATCTTTGGTTCAAACGTAATAAAAGTTAAACTTCTAATAACATTACTTTTATTTAACACGAAATAAAAATGAAGTATATCTAATTTTTCATGTGGCCATTAGATTCACTGATCTAGAATGTGGGAGTTTCACAGTGTTTCTTTTTTAAATTAGTGTAGACCACTCAGAAAGCAATGAATCCTTCTAAGTTCTATCTCTTATAACAATGTAGATAAGACCTGTCGAATCTACATGCAAGATTAAGTGAATTTAAAAATAATATTTAGCAAAGTAATTAAATAATTTGTCAAAATTATTATTGATATATTTGAAATATATATTGTAAGTATTTGAAATGTAAAAGTATTCATTGAATCATTGTAGTCAATTTCATTTTTCTCGATTCATATTTAAAGTTAATTTATTTTGTTAGTATATTATTAAATTTAAATATTATTTCATTCCAAGTCTTAAGAACCTTATTTATACTGAAAAAACATAAATTGATAACATAATTTTGTAAGTGAAATAAGTAATTAACACACTATAAAAGCTATCACTTACTATATAATTTAATAAGATTGGATTAACTTTTGTTCATATAGATATTTTTCTAAAGAAAATTGAATCGTTATTATTGACCTCTTGAGTTTATACTAATAAATAACTTTATTAGCATTTGACATTAATATATACTATCAATATATAATCTCTAAAGTTATTATTAATAATTTAATATTTGTTAGACAAATATTATATTAAAAATATTATTTTAATTCTTAATAATTTTTATAATAATAATAAATATTTTTTGTAATATTAGTATGCCTGTGGCTTTATTTAAAACTTCAATGTTTGTAATATTAAACAATAAAATGTGTGTAATTTAAGGAGTTCCAATTTTTAAACCACTAGTTCTAAAATGATATTACACAGGATATTATATATTATTATTTTTATCTTTTGTACATATATCTTAAAAATGCGCCAAAGTATAAAATGACACCTAAAGATGTACCAGTAACGATAAATCAACATTTTTCTTTTCGAATTAAGACTGATAAAATAATAAAAATCTACAAAAAAATTTAATAAAGTAGTTACTCCTTAAGGGAAAAAGAGAAAAAGAAACAAATATATCAAAATAAGATGACAATTTTGTTTTTTAAAAAGAAAATATTAATATTAATATTACTTATATGCTAATTAATATTTTTTTTATGTTAAATAATAAATATTAATAATTAAACATTATTTTTTAAGTCTTTTTATCTATAAATTTTTTGAATCTCAAATAAAAACTTTAATTGCTCTATGTTTAAGCCCCTATATAAATATAGAGTTGCTCTAGAAGTGAAAATAATTCAAGTTACATATTGATGCTTACCATATGTTTTTGTATTAGGTATTTTATTTTACACATATGTCGTTTCTAATCATCATTGTTATTATATAAATATAATTAATACTTGATTACAAAAGACTTTGTAAATAGACCATTACACTTTAAAATAAGTCTATCTTAAAAAAAAATAAGTAGGTTAAACTAAGAATGTGTGTTTGAAAAACATACTATAGACAAAGGGTCCTAATGGTTTTCTCTTTTTACTTGTTATCCATTGTAACATCCTCGTTTTTTCTAAACAGTTAATTTGTTAATATAGTTATAATTTAGATTATAATTCTTCAATTTTTGGAAAATAAAAAAAATGCTCGTTTATACCGGTTAAAATTGCTCTATGAGGATAAAAATAGCATTTTTAATCTAGAAGAATTATTTTAAATAATAAAAAATTATATTTTAATTAGAAATAATATTTGGAGTGTAAAAATAATTATTTTGGCAATTATTTCTTATTTTTAAATTTTTGGTTAATACTATTTTATGTGTTCACAGGAATTGTGTGATTATTTTTTTTTTCTTTTTTTCTTTTCTTTTTCTTTTTAAGTGATAACTAAAGAGATATTGATGTCAAAAATTATGTTATAATTATTTTAATTGTTTGGCATAAATTATTTTTATTTTTGAGTTTTATTCATAATTATTTTATTTAATTACATTAAAATAGTAAAATAATTGATTATTATATTATTATTTCTTTATCTATTTGACTAAATTGACCATTTTCTTACGTAAATCTTCTTCTTCTCCAAGTCCATAACCCCTTCTTCTTCCTTTCACCATTTTCATTTTCTTCCACTCATTTAAGCTTGTTTTAAAGTATGTTTTTAATATATATCCTTAATTAAGCTTAATTAGTTGTTAATTATCATTTCATCCGATTAAAATTTTAAATTTTTTCTATTTTTGGCTGTCATGAACAGTAAAAATAGGTCTTACTTTACTTCAAAATTATTGGTTTTTAAACTTACTTTCTTTTGTACTATATGTAGACTATGCATGGCTTATATTGTTTACATAATTAGTTTTTCAAAAATGTGATTAAAAAGCACTAAACCCTCACAAGGGTTGGCTGCCATGTAGTTTTAGAGAAGGTGAAGTGAGTGTTTTTCAATTCCATTTTATTCTTTTATATTAGTTAGATCATAGAAACTAATTTTGTGTTAATCGGACTTTTATAGCAAAAGTTAGAAAATTTCAATTTTTACATATACATATAAGAGTATAAAATTAGCATCTCCTTAGTATTAATTATGTTTAGGCATGATTAATTGATTAGGTTGATCGTTTCGAAGATTGGATTGTTCGAGTTTTCTAAAGAATCAAAAAAAAAAATTCATCCATATCTTCATCAAAGAATATCCGTAAGGTAAGGGGTGGGATAATTTTATTTCAATATGTGGCATTAAGAACCATAAGGGAATGATTCTCTATTGTTCTAATCAAATAAAATGAATTTGGGTTGTTTTAGAGCTATCCCATAATTTTTAGAAGATTTTGTTATAGCACTTGACATGTGTGAAAAGTTGCCTTAGACCAGGAAATTGATTGAACAAGGACTCTCCCTTATATGTAAGGTCTTTTGTGTATTTAAATTAATGTATTGGAATGATTTATGGTTGAAGTGCTGTATTGAAATATTTCTTTATAATTGGTTGAATTCTCATTATGTGCTTGTGTAGATATTCTTGTTGGTAGGAATGCCATATAATAGTAAAGATTGGAAGTAATATAGTTTCATGTGGTGTGAGCATATAGATTGATATAATCTAAATGTCCATTAAGACTTGTTGGAAAGAAGAAAATATGTTTTTAAGGTATATATATATATATAATTATGTATTTTATATATAGTACAAGTATCTTTTGACTTCTTTTGAAAATAGATTTAATAAAAATAAATAAATAAATTATATTACTGAGAAAGTAGTATTGGATATTTGGAAGGCTTGAATCATTTTTAAAATGATTAAGTTTTAAATTTTTAAGCATAAAAACATATTTAAAGAAAGAGGGGAAGATACGATTTCCATGGATTTTGAGATAATGGAGGTGGAATTTAATTAATTAGAAGTATTCTGAATTTTTCTGGTTGTTTTACAGGAAGAAGAAAATTTTGGAATATCTGATTTACAGAGGAGACTCTGTCGAATTTTATTGAGAAAAGAAAAAGTTAAGGATTGTACTTAACAGAAAAGAAAAATTAAAGTTTTTCTCTAATTACATTAATTAGGAGTGAAGACATGCATCATGAACATGTGATAGTGTGATGAGTGGACAGGGAAGTATAAGAAATCTAGGGGCGGCTCCAGGGTAGTCTTGGGGATAGTGACGTGTGATTGAATCTGACAGTGGCCAAGGCTCGCCATCTTGTGCTGTAGACTCTCACTGCAAAACTTTACTATCCTGACTGGTCTCGAAAGATTCTTGTATTAGTAGAGCTGTTACTGTATTATGAGATGAACAAAGTTGGCAGATAAGTAACAGTGAAACTCCTGATCCTTCCCTGAGTAAAAGAAACATATTGATGGTTTTGGGCCCACATGCATGTGTCAAAATGTACTAAGTTATAATAATGGACTTGCATCACTTCTCATTCATGGCATATGCATTTGCTTGGTAGATTATGGGTGTTGATAATTAATTGTGTGATTGAAACCCTTATATGTCTTTTGCTGCTGGAGATTGAATTAAATTGTCTCACCCTTTTATTGCTATGTGTGTTGTGTGTGAATATGTTTATTAGGTGAGAACATTGATGGCTCGACCACCGTACCAATTCAGCGTCTCGATCAGATATGATCCTGAGGGAACATGGGTGCACGACTGGGAGCAACAACGATTCACCCACACTGGCTCTATTACCTTTTTGTTAGATAGAAATGGCCCAGGCCCACGAGCTTACCCTATCCCCATCCGAGTACCCATGAGACTTACTTTTCCATTTCCTCCAGATGTACAATTTGTGAGACCCCTACCCCACCTCCTGTTCCTGTATTATCACCCCCCGGTATTACCCCCAGGTTTTCTTAGACCTTTACGTCCTTCTATACCATATTTACCACCTGTTGAACGAACTAGTTTAGTTGACACACTTTTAGCAAGACCTATCTCTATTTCATTCACTTCCTCTTCGTCTTCCTCTAGTTCTTCAGACTCTCCTGATTCTTCTCACTGTTCAAACACCTCTACTGCTATCGGAAGGAAGAGGACTGCTTCTCAAGCAGGACTCCTTCCTAATTTTACCTCCTCTGAGTAGGAATCTAGTGGAAAGGAGAGTAGGATAGAGTCGAGTAAGGAATAATCTATACATATACGTAGGTGTAAGTACTTTTGACTGAAAAGAAAAATGGGTATATAGGAAGCCTAACCTTACCGTTGTTGAATTTTGGGAGGAAATGGGCACTTTGGTGATCATGGATCCAGGGGAAAGCTCGTGAGGTCTTCGTTTTGGGTTGTCGTCTCTGATATCGTGACCCCACTTTAGTTTGTATGTAATTCAGTTATGTATATATTTAGATAACTGGATGATTGTATAAATTAACAGATGATGTGTATATATGAAATGAATACTTCTAGTAATGGTAGTGTATTTAATTTCACTATATCTGAATAGATATAGACCCATGCATGTGATGTTCTTACTGCTTGGTTATTTTATGATTATATTTATATTTATTGTTTAGTAAGTAGTAAGGATGTCACATCCATCCTTTGTAAGTTTTGAAATTTTATTTCGCCTCATTGTTAATTATTTTATTCTACCTTTCTCTACTTAAAAACACACCATAAATACACTAAATTTCAAGTAACAAAGTCACAACACAAGTTTTTCTATTAAAAAGGAAAATATATAACTATAATAAACAGTGCTCATCTCACAATCTCATTCTTATAACTAAATACTATATATAAAATAAATAGGATGATAGTTTACAAGTAGGAAATTAATCATTAGTTTAAAAGAAATTTACAAAATTACAACACCGGCAAACAAGTTTACAAAATGAAATAGCTAAAATTAATTTTAATAAATTATTTGTTGAAAGTTCATAACAAAATTAGGGTCTGTTTGATAAATTATTAAAATCGATTTTAACTGCTAACAATTTTTCATTGCACACTTTTGAAATCACGCACATAGACATTTCCAACGTTTTTAATTTTAGTTATTATTTGCATATGGTATACAAATGAGTTTCAAATAAACTCACGATTTATCAATTCATGAAAACCTTAAAAACGAAGTAACGACTTAATTGAAGAAAAACTTAATATAAAGAACAAAATAACTATATTATTTATGATTAATTGAAATTGTGATATGTGAACTAATAATCTTTAGCTAGTCGTGAAAACGTACCAAAAAGTACAGAAAAAAAAAAATCAAAAGAGGAAGAGATAAAAAAATTTAAAAAAAAGTTGTCTGATTCACTTGGATGGACTAAGATATTGACGTCAGCAAAAGTTTATTGTTCTGACTTCCAAATACATCTAATTTCCTACCCGATCTGAGATTATTTTACATATAGTTGTAATTACTTATAAATTGTTATTTTAGACAAAGAAAATGTGAAAGTGCTTTTCCTTTTTGTAAATATTCAAACACTAAGACTTGGTCAAAAAAAGCCACAACTTCAGCTTAATGCAAGTCCACGAGTGTGACCCTGTGGTGGATATTCCCTCAACCATAGCTAGCCGTCGCTACCCCCTTAATTAAGCAATTGGCAAATAAATCAAATTGCTAATAATAATAATAATTTGTAGACACCCACAGAGAGATAAAAAGAGAAACCATAGATATAATAAGCGATGTGATACGATAGAAGGAGAAAATTAATAAAAAAAATGTAATAGTGTCTTGAAGTATCATAAACGAGGACTAAAATGGAAGTAAGAAAAAAGCTAAAACACAAGCTTCTGCCAAACTACAAAATAATTTTGAAAAACAAAACTGTGCATGCACATTAAACTAAGCATAAGTACAAAACTTGTAATTTACATCATTTTATTATAACAGTACCCACCGTATCTGCAGCTCTTCACATCTTCCTTAGCCATCCCAGATATAATAAACAAGCTGAAATTGTAATGCCCACAACTTTCTAACAAAGCAATTTGGCAGCTTGATTTTCTATATCCTCAGAGTCACAAACCCAAGACATGATCTCTACTTAATAATAGATTCAAGTCATTCAACTGAACCCAATGGACTAAATTTTAAGATAATACGTTTAATTAAGCAGCCCAAATAATTTATTTGATTAACTTAAAACTTAGAAGACCCTTAATTATAAACAAAATCACTCTCGGAAAAAATGCTCTTCTCCTGATATTTGATCTATGTGCTTGATCCAACGGCTGGGAGTACCCTTTGGAACAGCTGAAGCATTACCACCACTTCTACTCCCTATGTAAGCAATATCCAAACCCTTCCCAACAGGCAAGAACACCGATCGAACCACACGTGTGCCCCTCTCCAACACCACGTGCCATCTGAACCCACCAGAAACGTTTCTTTGCCATGCATTTTTGCATGCCAAAACTGCCCCTCTCGTGCTAACCTTGGCCACCCTAAGAACCCTAGCAAAGTCCCTCCTCTTGCAATCAACCACCAGAAAGTCCAACCCCACGAGCCCCGCCACCGCCGCCTCCGCTTCGCCGGCCACCACCTCTGGCGGCGGCGACACCCCCATCTCGGCCAAGGCCTTTGTGTACTGCACCCTTGACCGTTCATCTTGGACTATGCACACGTGTCTTGCACCCGTGTTGCGAGCTGCAACTGCCAGGCCTACACTTGCGGCTATTGGGCCTCCAAGGGACCATGACTCCACTATTAACTTCGCGTTCCAACCTGCTGCCATGGCTGAGAGTAATTCAGCTACCCCTGATTCCTTGAATTTCTCACACTACAGCAAAATTATGAAGCATAGCAAAAATTAAAAGAAAAATATATTGAAATTTAACCAATTTCAAGGCAAAACTCAAAAGGGATATATAGTCATATAGAAAATAATATCATCAATAATGTTATTTACACCCCTGAAGGTTAGATATTTCTTTTATAGTATGTACTTTTGTATGTATGATAAAAATAAATAAATATAGATAAATTAGTATAGAATTAACATTAATCAAATAATAGAACTGTAAAATCATAAATATCAAGAAAGTGATAAAGAAAGAAGGAAAGAAAATAATGTGATTGATGGTTCTTGAAGGTGCTTACTGATTTAACGGTGTCTACGTAAGCTTTTAAGGCTGTTTCTGGACACCAAACGAGCTTCATGGTGTGTGTCTACTTTCTTTCTCTTTCTCTGTGTGTTTCTCTCTCTTGGTATAATTCACTTTCTGTGTTTCGACTTTGGATATTGTGTCAGGGTGATCGAAGGAGCAATGGTGGTACACGTTGACGTACGGGGAAGTGTTAGGTATATATGAGTTGATAAATGGTGTGTTGTGATAAGATATATACGAAAGAAGAAAGGGGGATCGAGACTCAGAGGGCGTTGACTTTTGGCTTACGCAATTTGAACGTGTAAATTAAACCCAAAGAAAACAATGAAATTAGCTGTAGATGAAGATGATTAAGCTAGTAGCTATCTTCTAATATTAAATTTTTTTTCTTACCCATTTCTTTATTCGGATTAATACATATGCATTGTGCGAACATTTCGACTGGTTTAATTTATTACTATATTTCTTAAATAATTGTGGATAATTTTACATTTTTAATTTTTTTTAATTATGATCTTTATTTTTTTATTTTTCAATTATATTTTATATAAATTTAAAAATAATCATACAATATAAATTTAATTTATTTTCCTTCTTTCAATAATAGTGAATGAATTTAAAACATTTTTAAGAATATAATAAAACAATTCAGTTTAAAAATTTTACGTCAAATAATAAGCACGTTTATATTATTATATATACTCAGTCATATATAGTGTATTACTCACTTTGTTTCTTTAAATTTGTTTTTCTTTTCAAGTTGTGTAATAATGGAGAAAGTCATTAAATGATATTGATTTTGAACAAAATTTGATTGGATTATCGTTCACTAGAGTACTCAAATATATTAGGCTAAATAAAGTTCAAAAACCTCCTTAATTAGATATGTGTTAAAGTTTGCTCTTAGGTGATTTAAGCATGTGTTGAGAAAATCTATAGAAGACTTAGTTAGGATAATGGATTAGATATAAAGTAATCCATTCACTAAAAATTATGTAGACCAAGAAAAAACTATTAGACGAGAAATCATTAAAATAATGTGAGACCTTTTGTTGTTGAAATTAATTACCGCCATACCATAATCCCAATATCGCCACCACTAAGATGTAGCAAAGAAACTTTATGGAATGACTTTTGTTCAAGTTGTTTCTAGTTGGTCATATCACGTTTTGCGTAATGTATCACCCAAGTCCATTGTGTGGTAGAGATGAAAAAATAACTTATATATATAAACCCATACTTAAGTTTGACGAATACTTTTATTTTCTATTATTATTAATAGTAGTATTATTAGAATTAAATATATGTTTACTTTCTACGAAAATTTTTACCTAAAGTTAGTCCCTCTTTATTTTCACATATCTAAATTTAGTCATTACTGTTAACTTTTTACAGTTAATTGATGATTAAACTAACAGCTGATTCCATCTAAAGTGTTTATGTATAAGTCTAATTTCATGTGATGATTAATGTTTATTTATTATAAATTAACACTAACTAACTAAATAAGTATCACATAATAAATGAATAATAAATTAGTCTCTCATTTATTATTCAATTTATAGTAATTATTAAAATTTAAAATAACAAATAAATAATGATTATCACATGAGATTAAAATGACACATAAGCATTGCATGTGAGACCAATAGTTAATATATAGTCATCACTCAACCGTAAAAAGTAAATGACAATTAATGACTAAATTTTGAGACATGAAATTAATGAAAGATAATTTTAGGTAAAAGAAATATAGAAAGTAAAAATATATTTAATCTTTATCATAAATTTTCATGAGACCCGGTAAGAAATTGAAAAAAATATAAATAATCCCAGAATCAAAAGAAGGGATGGGATGGAAGAGGAGGAGAAAGTACACGAAGTACAGGAAGATATTGAAAAGAAACGTTGAAGAATTGCTAGCATTGACAAAGAAGGATTCCTTTATCATCTTTGAAAGGAAAACTGTAGTACAGAAAATGTTACACTGTTGAATTGTGGACCACCCATAATTAACTTATTGTCATTGGTTAATGATTATTTTAAAATTTGTTTAATAATTTTAAAATTTTACATCATTATATCCAATGATTATTGATATTAGACTACCAGTAGTTCAAGGAAAAGGAAAATTTTGGCGAAATTATGTATCTGTTAAACTCTATAAGTTTGGCGAAATTTTCTCTTCTTTTTTTTTTTCAGCTTTGCTAAATGGTACTAGTTGTTTTTGACAAATTCGTCATGAAAACATGTGATTCATTTTCAGTGGATGAAGATAATAACTTAAAGAATTAGAAAACATTAGAATTTGATATAAATAGTATTTTCTTTTTCTTTCTGAAGCAATTCATTTGAAGCTGTAACTGAAAGATAAAAGAAAGGAAATAAAACTAAGAGTATGTTTTATTACTGTTTTGAAAACAGTTTTCTGATTTTAAAAATTGATATTTGAGACAATTTGATTATATCTTTTCTTTTAATCCTGAGATATATAAAATCATAAAACCATCACTTTATTTTCACATGGAATGACATGCAAACATTCCATCAACTCAAGAATAATTAAATTAACATATAAGAGATAAGAGAAAATTATTAAAAAAATATTTTGATGAATAATATTTTTTAAAAATATAAATTTTTTATCGAGTTTAATAATGAATAACTTTTGAGAGCGACCAAAATAAGTATTTTGTCATTTTTGTTTATTAATTCTTGTGTCAACTGGGATCTAGCTAGATTTCTCTTTTAATTATTAATTGTACCCCTTACATAATTAACCTGCGTTTAGGATTCTAACTCTATGTTAATCCAATGTTTTGCATGTATACATATATATATATATATATATATATATATATATATATATATATATATATACTTAATCATTAATTAACCCTATGTTTACAAAATTAAAAAAATAAATAAACATTTACAAAAAGGAATGAGACTACAAAGAGTGAACGACAAAATTAACCAGGCTAGTTCGCTACAACTCAGAAGAAACAAAAGCAGCTATACTATATTTAACAAGTTGCCAAGGATGACATATTATATATTTGTCACAATTGTCTGCAAAGATCAATCTTAAAATATGTTTCTTTGTTTCCTAACTTTCTTCCATTCATGATTAACATATACCGTAGATAGCGAAAGGTTAAAAGAATACTTATATCTACCACATCAAAGCAAATTAGTTTTATCAACAACATAACACACTTCAAAATTATTATTTTTCAAATTGAAAAAATGTAAACGTCATAAGTTCACGTAAGCCCTCCCAAAAAATATAAAGTATATATCATATATGATAGTAACTCTTTTTGACGGGACAGATTTGCATAGATTTTGTCACTCGTAATCCATTCACTATATTTCAGATATTTTTACCAAAATGATGTTTATTACTTAATATATTCTCTATATAATGTATAAATATCTTTTAATTTAATTTAATCAAAATTAATATATATATATATATATATATATATATATATATATAGTTAATATAAGACTATTTCAAATTAAAAAAAAATTAATACACATGTTACAATCTCGCTCGGTATATATTATGGGGATTTTTGACCCATGCAAATATAAGCTTGAGAGGAGTTCATCAACTCTTGAAGCATGCCTCAACCTTGTGAAGATCACTTGAGGGATGCATGAGATCATTTTGTGAAAGGTTTCACTAACAATCTTAGTATCTGCTCGTGATATATGTTCCAACTAAACTTTGTGGATTTCGTTGGGATTATTAGTTGAAGATCAAAATTTTCAGAATACTAATTAAGCCCAGATTCAATTGTGTTTTGTGCATATGATTTTGTAAAAATAATATAAAAAATAATTACTATATATCCCTTCATATGATTTAGTTGAGAGTTATTTGAAAATGGAAGTTTTGGTGAGTTTAGGATGGATAGGATATAATATAAACTTAATGTATTAGTAGTATATGTATGATTATATATAATATTTTTTTATTTAAAATTAAAAAATATGTTCAACTATTTTTTTTCTCTTTAAAAACTCTCTTCTAAATAATTCCTTAAAAAATATCATAAATTTCAGCTTTTTTATATTTTTTAATAAATTTTAAAAGTTACAATATTTGGCGTTAAAATAATATTATTGGGTAAAATAGTTAATAATTTCCCTTCTGGCCACAACAGTTGACTTCCGTGTTTAGGAGCTCCAACATCATTATTCATATGACCACCATGAGTCTAGGCTACGGGTACATATTAACTATACTTGAAAGTTAGCTGAATCATTATATAATTAGTAATTATGGATTTATTTAAAAAAAAAACAATGCATTCTCTTTTTTATTTATTATAAAAATAAGAGTTTTGTTAACCTTAACTCCTAGGATTGAATTTAAGTATTCACAAATAAAAAAAAATTATAAAAAAATACATAATTATTGTATTAAAATTATAAAAATATAATATATTTTTTAAATAAAATTTTACTATTATTAATTATTTATTCTCAATTTTAAGTAGTGAAGTTAATAAAATCTTAAAAATAAATCGATGAAGTCGAGTCTTCTTTCCTATTTAATGAATGATTTTATAAAATAAAAAATTTACTTTCTTCACATGATTTATAAGATTGCGGGTACATATGAATAGAATAATTTAAATTTTTTTTGTGAAAATTACATTATAAATTAAAAAGGGAAAATTGTGCTTGTGCATGTTTAAGTATGTTAAAAAGTGTTACGAAAAAAACTACAGTTATATTAGCTTATTAATTTTTATTATTATTCTAACATATAGATCCTTCGATCTGATTCTGTTTAATATATAGCAAAGGATAAATTTTTCTGAAAATATATAATACATCCATCTACGTTAAAGATGAATTCCTTATTATTTAATTATTTATTTTATATCATTTCAAAATTATCCTAAATGAAAAGGTTTATAGCTATAAGAGCTCTTCTTTCCATAAATAATTTAACTAAGCATTTATTTATCAATAATTAAAAATTTTCTAAAAAATGTTGTAAATTTAATTATACTGAAATTTATTAAATAAATT